GGCCCCGGTGGTGGACGCGGTCTACTCGTCCAGACTCGGGAGAAGGCGAAAACTGAGTTCTCGTCCTCGAGAGCGCTTCAAAGAACACTTTGTCATCCTGCCCGCGCAGTCACGCCATCGACCCAGCCCTCCTTCGCTCCCTCACCTCTAGCTCCCTCGCAGTGGCTTGTGCTTGCACGCTCGCGCTCGCTTGGTGCTCGCATTTGTCAAAACATTACAACGACAGGGCCTCCGCAGTAATTCTCGTCGTTCCCGCCATTCCGCGGGCCAGAAACTCCGCTTTAGCAACTATTTGTCAACAACAATGAAAGCAACCCCAATTTCTGAAAGCACTTGTTGATGTGAGACATTGCTTTCGATTTGCTGCGCGGGGGGACCAATTGTGCAGTTTGGTGACTTGCTTGTGGCGCTCTTCGCGGCTCATCTCCGCTCCCGCCCCATCTCTGCTAAGGTGTTTAGCTCGTGCGAGTGTGCTCGGTTGGCCGCTGTTGGTTTTTTGTCTGTTGGGACATGTCTCCTTGAGCGTTTCCGCGCCACTCATTCTCCCTGTAATTCACTCCATGCGTGTTTCAAGCGCTTGGCGATGGCGTCGAGCTGTGCTGGTTCAGGAAGACGTGGCTTCTGCCGACGCAGCTGGCAATAGGATTCGTGAGGCACCTAGTGTCCGGAAATCGGGAAATGGGCAAGGCTGGCATCGGAAGCGAGGTCATGATAGTGGTTTCGCAGCGTCTGGATCATCTGCTCTATGCTGCTGGCCTTGTCTAGAGATTTGAGTTCAAGCGAACACTGTCGGTCGAAGCATGCAACTGTGACGAAACTTGATGCAGGCTGAACGGCCGGATGTTGAATCGCTCACGGTCCTTTTCTTCCTGCTGTATTTCCTTTGCGCCACTCAGGCAGCTGCCAAGATGCTTGTGTTTTTCTGCAGTTGAAGTGTCCTTGGCTGCAGGACATCGCCGTGGATGGATGGGCTCTGACGATGCTGCGAAAGGAGAACGTGGGCTATGCTGCCACCACCAATGCCATGGGACAAACCCTTGGTTATGCCCCCTGGACCTGGGCGAGAGAAGGTGCTTCTCGTAATCCGCGAAAGCTAAGAGTGCTTGCAAGCTGTGCGCGTAAGGCCATGGGCTTCACTGGCTTCATGGCCCTGGAGCACTTCAATCTGATAACCCTGTCCGAATTCATGTTTCTGTGGGGAATGGTTTTCATAGTGGCCTGGACAGAACTAAGTCGGCCATTCCTCAGCCGAAGCGGAGATCGGAGACCGAGGTAGTGACGATTCTGGTCACCATCCTGAAGTCTGAGGGCTCCATGCTCTCAGAGGATGAGCCGGAAACTTGGAGTCCATGAGACCTTCAGAAGGAATCACACCAGGTCTTCTCGAACTTCTCTCAGCTTAGGAGGGCATCGCGACATCCTATGCAAACATGTTCAAGATCCTCCGCCTGCGACCGGTTCGTGTCCTGCTGCTGCTTTTGCTTACAATGAAGTTTCCTTTCGCTGTGGCCGACAGCATTGCACCGCTAAAGCTGCAAGAGTATGGAGTCAAGAAAGAGCACATGGCTTACATCGCATCGGGTATGATGCCGGTGCCTTGCCCGAAGAAAAAGCGGGCTTTGTCTGCCTTGACATGAAGAGTGCCGGCAGCTCCATGAGGCACACGGTCCCCCGCTTTGTTAAGGTGTACATCCTGCTCCCAGCAGTCGTCTCGCGCTGGACGACGAACTCCATGCCGTGGGATCTTAGCCTACAGGCATACCCGTGGAGAATTCTTCTGGCCCAAGACTCAGATGTCAATTTTGCACACCGCACGTGATAGCTTGTTCGCATCGTGGACGCGAGCACATGCGTCTAGCATATGTCTTGCGACAGCGTGGTTTCCGGTCTTTGTGAGAAGCGGTTCTTCGACAAGTCTTTCTGGAAGCTAAAGACGCCCCGACTTCGGCAGCTACGACAACAAACCACTTGCACAGGTCCGATTTTGCGTGCACCTCAGCCGTTCACACCCAAGCCCCAAGTCCGAGATGTCTCAAGAAGGAGGACAGGATATGACAGGATTGTGCCTGTCTGGGATGTTTCAGAAATCACAAGGGAAGCAACTTGCGAGCTGAATGGAATGCCGGTACATGCGAATCAGCCATTCCTTCTAGCGGGCACGGGCTGGTTGAACAATCCTGAATCAAATGTTGCAGACAACGGCATATTCCGAGAGTTCCAGATTTGTTGCTTTCATGTCCGAGAAATCATACGGCCTGGCCTAGCTTTCGTCTTTTGCTGTCACGAGAAAAGGTCCGAAACAGAGGTCCAGGAATCGGAGACACGGATCGGACACGGCGTGAGTACTAGTGGTAAGTCCTGGCAGTAAGGGTCGTCTTGCTTTGTCTTTCTGATCCCAGTTGGAATTTGACTTCGCTTGCACATCGCACACTCCCCAAAGCAGCTGCTTTGACTTGACCGCTTGAGCATGAAACCCGACCGTGGCTGCTGCAGAATCCAGGTTCCTGTGACTGCCATCGTGGTGTCTGCAACGCCGCCCATCGCAGATCGAATTCCATGGGCGTTCTATGCTGTGGTCGTTGCAGTCTCCCTGTTTGCACAGGCCACATGGCCCAAAAGCACCTTGCCAGCTTGGTAGGCCTGAGTCTAGATTACGCATGTGCTTGACATCTGAGGTTGCAAGTCAATGCATGTTTGTGTCCACCATGGCATTCTTTGCTCGGATCAGTGATCCTGCGATGGGCGGAACCTACATGACAATGCTCAACACAATGAGCAATCTGGGAGGCCAGGCCCACTGCAGGAGTGTCTTTCTGGCAAGCCTTCCTGTTGGCTCAGGCATGTGGCCAGGCACCGTCACGCTGAAGCTGATCGATTTTGCCACATGTATGTCGGACCGATGTGTGGTCAAAGCTGACGGTTTCTCAGTTGCAGCTTGAACACAGCAACGTTGTGATCTCACCGGCTGCCACCCGCCAAAGCGGCCAACGCCCACGCAAAAAGACGTCAAGCTGAGGCTTCTACGTCATGTCAGGCCAGAAGCGACAGAGCAGATGCAGCTGAGATCCTTTGACTTGACTTTGCTTGTGTGCTAGCTGCCTCACAGGAATTAGTTTCATCTACGGGATTGGATGGTGTCTGCTGGCTGCTGGGAATGCTCGGCGAGTGCAGCAACTCAAGCTGAGCGACTGGAAAGTTTGACAAAGCTGCTTAAAAACAGAGCAGATTTTGCAAGCGCCGCCAGACTCTGGAGCGACACATCAAAACACATTCAAACCCTGCAGAAGCATTCACCCTTCGTCTTAAGGCCCGGGAAGCGAAAGCGAGGCCTGGGTTGGGGTGGGATTGGGATCCCCTGATTCCTCCATGCAGAGAGCATTCGGACATGGTCTGTGAAGGTTCCAATACAACGGCGGTGCGTTGCAAGACGGAGGCAGAAGATGCAGGAAGTCCCCTTCGGTGAGTTTGGGTTTCTGTGTTGACATCATGAGGGGACCGGAGATGCATGCCAAAGCGTTGGAGCAGAGTAGGTTCTATCACCTATCTTTCCCCAGCGAAGAGAGTTCAAGGCACCATTGAACAACAGAGGCTCCTGCCATTGCGCAACACTCCATTCGAGAGACGTCTGTAGACGTCTATATGCATGCCATTCTTTTGTTCTCCTGCAATTGCTCTAGGGCCTCTAGGGAATGTTGTGCAGGCTGTTGATGCACGGCAGGTTGCTCAGCGCACACGTCGCCGTCTCAGTCTTGAGTCTTAAGTGGTGACTGCTCCCCTGTCTGCAACCTTGCTAGCTGCGTGGCAGGAGCGAAGAGGGTAAAGGCCGAGCTGGTTTCCGTGATGACCTTATCAAGACTTTTGACAACTACCCACCTCTGTTTGCACCAGGGTCACTAGGGGCTGTCGCACAGGCTGCTGATACGCAGCAGATTGCCGAACTTACCAGTACTCATCTCAGTCCCTGGCCGATGCTTTGCGGTTGCCGTGCTACCTTCCCGGCAGGAGAGAAGAGTGCAAAGTCCGAGCCGGTTTCTGCCATGACCTGAGCAACTTTTGAACTACTGTGAACACTTGCAGCAAATGCCTTCGGTTCACTGCAGGTGCAAACCCATGCCCGTACTGCAGTTGTCGCAATAGACGAGTTCCGAGAGGCGTCTTCATCACGCCGGAAACCGAAGAGCATCGATGTGCAGATCCGCACACCATGTGCCTCAAAAACGATCCTCTTTTGCACTCAGGTCGCCCTCAGAGAGCTCGACTTCCGGTGCCGCGGGCCTCGGGGGAGGTGACGAGGGTGGCCCCGGTGTTCCGCAGGTGCTCCGCTCCTGGTGCAACGAGCGCGTGGTCTACGAACGCTTGCCCGGATCCAGCCTGCCAACGGTCAGCGCGTTTCTCGCCGCCTTATGTGCAAAAACTGGCATGCAGCATGCGAGAGCAAGCGGCGGCAAGCGGGCACCCACACCAGGTGTGAGTTTGTCCAGACGGCCAGTGTCAAGGCCAGCACCGCGAAGGCCAGCGCGGTCAAGGATTTGAGCCTTGCATTACCTTGCGGGGTCTCTCGTGTCTTATCTATGCAGCCTCGTTCATGAGAAATTAGACATGTTTTAGCTCCCTCCCCACGTACGCCTCCTAAACAGTCTCTTGCATCATGTACATCCCACAGGCTAGTTTGTAAGAGCTGCACACGCTTTAAGCACCTGTGCAGGCATTCTTGTGATTGTCAGCATTTCCCCCTTCGAACATTTCACGAGACTGCAGCAGTCACAGGATCAACAAGGCATGTCTCTTGACTGCGTGGGAACGCCATTCTTGAAATGGCCACGATCCATGGAGCTGAATGGGCATGGCCTCAGCCAGTACAGCCAGTGCGAGCTTGTGCTGTCCGGAAGCAACAGGTCTGGAATAGTGCAGCAAGAATAGACAGGACAGAGCTCCTACAGAGGCGAGCCCGGCTTCCCTTGTGGAAGCATGGGGCTTTGGCATCAGGAATTGGCGGTATCATGTGGCACGCTCGTTGCCGACGGCGGCGCAGAACTGCAATCATTTATCGGCGCTCGCTTGAGTCAGAGCTCGAAGCGCTCTTCTTGGAGAGCCCCTGGCGCAGGGGTTTGGAGCCGGCGGAGGAGTCCAAGCCAACAAGACTTAGCTTCCTGGGCAAGCTGCCTGAGGACCTTGTGGGGACAGTATACCGGAATGGGCCAGGGCGCATACGAATTGGAGAATCCAAATATGATCATTGGTTTGATGGTGATGGCTTCGTAACTTCCCTCAGTGTGGATGGGAGGAACCAAGAGGCCGCTTTCACGTCGCGCTTTGTGAAGACCCAGAGGTATGAAGTGCAGCAGAAGTCTGGGGAGCTTGTCAGAACCGAAAGGGGCTCTGGAATGGCATCGATGGGTGCATGGACGCCTGCCTCGAACGGCGGTTTTCTGTCAAATGTCTTCAGATTGCCTACAAACCCTGCAAACACAAATGTCCTGTGGTGGGACGATAGATTGCTGGCGCTGTGTGAGGGTGGCATTCCGTATGCTTTAGATCCAGGAAATCTGGAGACACTGGGCGAGGAGCTATTCCGTGATCCGCCCCTTTCGCAAAGCGGAGTACAGTTTTTTTCCGCTCATCCGAAACGCGACCCAGACTCTGGAGAGCTCTTTAACATAGGACTGAAGATTGGGCTTGAGCCGACCCTGGAAGTCTACAAGTGCTCTGCCAATCGATCCTTGATGAAGCGGACTGTCCTCGCTTTGACAGATTTGACATTCGTCCATGACTTTGCCATAACACGGAAGCATGTGATTCTCATCATCCCACCCTGGAGTTGTTCGACCACTGGCCTCGCCAAGAGTCTCTGGAAGGGAGCGATGGCACAGTTCTTCGAGTGGAAGGAGGACGCAGGAACCAGGCTGATCGTGCTGAAACGCAGTGATCTGTCTGTTGCGCCTTGGCGTGCGACTAATGGGTCAGTGAGGCTGGAGCAACACGGGATGGATTTTGCAAGTAGCTGCCCAGGCACGCAACCGCGTGGGATCCGATAGATTTGTGACTAGCGGAGATTGTGGTGAGCAAGATTGAGGGGGATCTCGATCACACACTAAGCAGTATTCTACTCATATGAAATGTTCTAGGCATACTCCGGTCCATGCTCAGGTCTTCGACAGCACACTGCAACCGGCAGTCTCCCTTTACCACACGGCCGGCCGGAAGCGCTTGTTTGGTTGCACACGTTGATGTTTGAAGCGAGGCCAGATGACACCCTGATCTATCCTGCACGCCCCGTTGCAGGTCAATGCATATGATGATGACAACGATGCTGCGATATGGCTTCAGATTGCTGCACACAATGGACCCCGAGAAGATGTCGAAAAGAACTTTGCAGACCCTCGGACATCGTGAATGTGCAACGACAAAGGTATTTTGCACGCCGTTTTGCTGCATGGTGCCGCTACCGTACTAGTAGCAAGCACACGTTGAGAATGCCGTCACAGCTTGCAGCAACCCCTTGCAGAGGACATGTATCGGAGCAGATGGTCAGATGCAACCCGCTGTTCTCTGCGAGAGCTCCGGCTAGACCTCGTGTCCGGAAGCATTCGGAGCAGCCGCGGCCCCGGATCCGAAGATGAGCGTAACGAAGCGCTTGGGAGCTCTGCTCGAGGTGCACTGGGACCTGAAGCTGCCTCAAGCTTTGAGCTCCCAAGCATACATCCAGCCTTTGTGGGCCGAAGCTCGCCCGCATTTGACAGTTTCATGAACTTCTTGCGGTTCAGTTGCTCCGTGACATCGCCTGAGCGAACGTCTTTCAACCTGCCAAGGCCGCAATGAATACGTTTGGACCAATGCGGCATATCCGTCTGATGCCGCCGCTGGCCTTTGGCAACAGCTACGCTTGCGCATATAGCACTTCAAGTGGGCTGAGGCATTCTTGAACTGTGTGGAGCGGCTGGACATGTATGGAAACTCGGTGGACCGGGCCACGTTCGGCCCTTCGCAGTTTGCAGGCGAGCCGAGCCTAGGCTGGTTTCAGCTCGGTATCAGAGACCTGAGAAGAACTGCACCATGCTGGAGATTTTCTGGCCTGTCTGAGGATGATCATTCCAAAGGCATCCACTTCAGAGGAGCTGGCGGCGCCGCTTGGGGGAGCTATGCATTCGGTTGGATGCTGCGGGTTTCTGTATGAACTCTTTCCCCCTGCCATAGCATTGACCCCACATGTATCTTTGAACATAGGGTTTGAATCGCACGTCGTTCTTTTTCCCGATTCTGCTTCAAACGGAAGGTACATGGCTGGCTTTAGTTTTGTTTAGAGGGTTGCTGGTGATGCTACTAGGACTAGCACTAGCACTAGTACTAGCAGTATTGGTACTGGTATTACTAGTACTCGTACTATATGATATAGTATTGGTATTTGTATTACTCGCACTCGTACAGTTACTAGTGCTAGTACTGATAGTACTCGTCCTAGTCAAAGTCCTAGTCCCAGCACCACCACCACGACGACGACG